AGAATGGTGCACTGTTCAGGCTGCTGAATGAGTGCTCTGTGTGCACCGAGTCATTAAAAACCTGTGGGACGGTCAACCACGGCTGCACAAAAATAAATATACAGCTGACTGCATGTAATTCCTTCACCTGCTTTTCCAAGTAGAATTTTATAAAGATGTTTGTTAAAGGGAATGCTGGTTTTCTTTATTTTTTTTTTTTTTTAAGACAGATTTTGGTATATTTGAATTGAAACCATATGCCTGGGTTTTTGCTGCTCAGATACAAAGTCTGACTAGTTTTAAATTTAATACACTGTTAAAAACACTTAAATAAAAATCTGAGTGAATGTGTTAGGAGACAAAAAGGACATTTTTCAACTCCTAAAAATTAGATCTGTGAATACAAGTGAATTTTGCTATAGAAGAATGAGGGGTTTATTCATTTTCTGCTACAATTGGAAAGGTATGGCTGAGAGGAGATTAAACTAGTGAAATCCTATGATTTTTTTTGACATTTTCCATCTTACCTTACTTTTATCTGCACAGAGATATTACATMTATTTCAGTTTTACCTGAGGCAGCAAGGCTAATCCCTTGTGGAGACATGTTTAATAAAATGACATGCAGTTGGTTAGCCTAAGCAGGTAGCCTCCCCCTCTAAATTCATGAGCAAAGACTTCAAAAGATGGTGAGAAGTAGGACAAAAGAAGAAGTGAGAAGAGGAAATTTGATGCCTAACCAGCATAAACGTGTCAGGATCAAGCTTTTATTCAGGCATTCATCCCTGATCTTAATATRTAAGATTATGTGTGTAAATCAGGAAATGCCATCCTTATAAAGGTGGTAAAACTGAAAACTCTTTACTGTGTTTAAATTACTGGGGAATTGATCTAAAGAACAGACCTGGTGAAATCCAGCTTTCAGAAAATTTATGTTCTCAAGACGCTGCCTCAAATGACTACATTAGATCACAGGTCTACAAATCCTGAAAAAGTGTATAAATGGATTAATCCCATTAGAAATTACATCAGCATTTCCCCACCAGACTCTCCGACATTTCTTCCAAGGCTTTTATTTAAATTCTTCACTACTCTTGCCTGAGAAGGACATGTCAGATTGTAAGCTTTCTCTACTTTTTGAGACAGGGAGAGAAGGAAAAAGAAAATTTTGGGGATTTAAAATCTTATTTTACTCCTAATAGGTTAGATGGAAGGAGAAAGCATTTTTTATGAATAATTAGTGAACTATGTTTCTGTAACAACTACAAAGTACATGTTTCCACATGCAGCCTTTTCATGCTTACAAAGAACATTAAAAACAACACAGAAAGTATTGAAAATCAAACCAACATGCTAAAAGCATGATATGCTGTCTCTGTAACAAACCACATTTACAGCAACTGGAAAACTTCTCCACTTGCTGGCCAGTGATGATGTTTTTTTTAAAATGTTTTCATTTCCACTGAGGAAGTGTTCTTATTTCCACTTCAGGAACCTTGCTGGAGAGATGCTAGTGAATATCCCTTCTGGGGTTCGAGGTTTTTCATCAGCAGACAGAAAGTGCACTGCTAAAATACCAGCACATATTTATCCTGCTTCAACTCTCTTTTAACCTTTTCCCTTCTTAGGAAGCATCCAGATGCATCACTTCACTTTATAAAAATAAACTGAGCATAGCCTCAGCTTTCTGCTTTAAGGAAATTATATTTCCATAARGTAAACCAGCACCCACTACAGAGATGGGCTGTGGTCAAATCTTTTTCTGTGCTTTTTTTTTGCCAAGGCCAAGCTCATTTTGGTGTTGGCTAAGCTGAAGTAGGTTCAATATTAATTGCATGCTCTTCTGAGACAACCAGCCTGCCAGAGTTTTTCCATTATTGTATTCACATTCAGCCTCRTACCCAATCTTTCTATAGCTACTTGTGGTTTTTGAATTTGGTTTTCTGTACTGCTTATCCAGCCAGTGCTGACAAACTCAGAGTACTCCGTGCCCAGACACAGATATGGTTTCAGCCTGAAACCTTTGAAGGAGAAAAGGGTTATCAGAATCAGTTAGCTTAAACAAATTTGGTTTTGAGCTATCTGTTGGTCAGCTGTTCCATTTCTGAATAAAATACCCCCTTCTGAGAAATTAAAAATTTTGGTGAAACCCCAGACATGCTTCTGGTGCTGGAAAATTCAGTATGGTTTGTACTTTAGCATCCTGATTCTGAGTTTCTGTTCTATTGCAAAGTTACACTGAATGAATACTAAATGCATTATAAAAGCTTCATTCTCCAAACCCTTTTTTTTTTTACTCTACAGAATTTCTGGTATGTTCTTATGGCAATTTTCCCACAAAAACCTCTGGCATTACTCTTTCATGGACTATGTTGTGCCCCCCTTGCTTGACTCTAAATGCTCACATTTGAGCATTTAGCACTGCACCCTACAATTAGAAATGACATACACATACTTGTCTGTCTCATGTTTAAACAAGGTTTCTTTATGTAAAGCCATAGAACGGTTCAKAGCAGGAAAACAGAAGCCAGCAGTCAGAAAACATTCATACCCTGAAGCCTGTGGGGCCTTTAGGACCCTATAACATATGCCTGTTCTCCAAATTAATGGCACTTACAGCTGAAATATTCTGATGCTGCGAAGTTTACCACGATCTGCAACAGAAACAGCAACTGCATGTGAGCCAAAAACCACAGATGAAGTCTAGTTTGCAGAGGAAGATGGTGTCACCTGAAATCCAGTGCTGAGCTGGGCATTTGCCCTCAGTTTGCAGGCAATTTCTGGGCTGGAAGCTGATTTTGGTGCTGTTGAACAAGAGGTTACACAGAGAAAATTCTACAGTTCTTTATGGTGCTATAAACTAATGTTGTTTGGTGGGAAAACAATGGTTTTACCACGGCAGAGTGTATCGTGCCAAGTATTTGTAAAACAACAGTATCAGTATTCTGCTTTATTTTTGCTYACAGTACTTTTTCCTCATTTATGCAGAAGGAACTTTTAAATGYTTTAGCAGGCATGGAGGGTAAAATACTGATTTCAACAGTCTTTTGACAATGCCAGGATTTAAATGAGCTCTCTTGGGAGCATGCCACCAGGAAGATCTGTTTCTTGGATGCATCCCAAAAGCTCCCCAGATATCTGATGTCATGCAACTACCCCTGTGGACTCCAAGCAGAAAATGCAACATTCAGCAGAAAAATGACTTGCTCTTTTCCCTGGTTCTCCACATCCCAGGTTTCTGGTATTCCTGAGAAATTACTTTTTGTCTTCTCTTCAGAGACTTTTATTGCTCTCTGAACTTCCAGCTATTGCCAGAAATTACAAAATTTTACACTGACTGATTTTTATGTTGTTACTTCAGCCTTTGTTGTGGTGCTCCTGCTGCTGTTAACTGTGATGATGAAAATTTCTGGCCCTTCAGCTCAAGTCTTGATGGATAAAGGTAATTGCTCCTTTCAGTGCATGTCTTTCAGAAAAAAAATTACCTTATTTTCATTYGTATGCACATGGTTTCACAGACAGTTTAAGGGTATTCACATTAGATTCTTTCATTGCAGTTTTAAGATTTTTGTTTTATAAAAAGTTGAAGCACAGTACCTTAGCCTAATCCAATATATTTACATGGGTGTTTTGTAAACTTAATTACAAATTTTAAATGTTTCCAAATGAGGGGAGCATTTCTGTTACAAGAGCTTGTCTGGCCTGGCTTCTCAACAGGAAGTTGCCTGGAAAGAGAAGCTGCCCAGACACTGAAAATATTGCTCATTTTGAGATGTATCTCTGATCTCAAACAGCTCCAGAACTTGCAGAGACTACAAGTTACATGCATGGTTCAACTGTGCCACAGTCCTGCTACTAGTTTCACCCAAATTATTGTTTCATGAAAAATAAACACTTGCTACAAAATCAGCCCCACAGGATGCACTGTAATGGGGTTTTCCTCAAAGGCATCTGACGTTTTGTTTAAGAACTATTTTTGTGTTTCATTTTCTCATCTTGCCCTATTATTTTTGCTGTTTTAAACTTTATACTTGACCCTGCGTTCTCAGTTTTTGACCAAACTATGTGGCTTAAACAACTCCGACAAGTCGCTCTGTCCCAAGCCCTGTGTCGGAGCCACTGCACAGCTCAGGCTGTTAGCCGAGCAGTCATTTCTAACGGGAAAGAGAGAAGAGCCGAGCAACGTCAGTTTAGAGTTTTTTCTATATGAAGAGGAGGAAGGTGGCGGTGGCGGGAGTGATGTGGGGGCGGTGCTGGAGGGGCCGGTGCCCGGGGCGGGGGGCGGCTCAGCCCGGCTCAGTTCTGCTCGGGGGGCGGCTCAGCCCGGCTCAGCTCGGCTCAGCCCAGTTCTGCTCGGGAGGCGGCTCAGCCCGGCTCAGCTCGGCTCAGCCCAGTTCTGCTCGGGAGGCGGCTCAGCCCGGCTCAGCTCGGCTCAGTTCTGCTCGGGGGGCGGCTCAGCCCGGCCCGGCTCGGCTCAGCGGGCGGCTCAGCTCGGCCCGGTTCTGCTCGGGGGGCGGCTCAGCCCGGCTCAGCTC